ACCCCTCATTATTAAAAGGACTAAGCTGAATAGAAAATGAAAGAATGAATAATATTATATTCTAATTGAATAGATATAAAAACTACTAAAATATAATTAAATATAATCTAAAATATATCATATTAAATATGTATATAAGACTGCAGTAATCAAGTGACACTAATAAATATTAGAATAAAAACACAGGAATTAATACAGTTTTTGTGTATGTAATTCTGTGTGTGTGTGTGTGTGTGTGTGTGTGTGTGTGTGTGTGTGTGTGTGTGTGTGTGTGTGTATGTGTGTGTGTGTGTGTGTGTGTGTGTGTGTGTGTGTGTGTGTGTGTGTGTGTGTGTAAGCAAAGGATGTATGGCAAAAATGTTATCCTACTGATGCTCTGTCAAAACTCACTTCTAGCCCCAAATAAAGAATCTTCCTTCATTTCTCAACAACACCAGACAACCACATTGTCTACAATTCAATACTACTGTATATGCTCCGTTCTCACGGTAATATATAACAGCTAAGAAACTCCAAAGGGGGTTTCATTGCTATCAGTGAGCGCTGTTCCTCCTTATTGTTGCTTTGATCATGGATTTGGAAGAGCACACTTCTTTAGCAAAAGCCCAGAGTGAACATCAGTCTCAGATGATGAGAAACCCAGCCCCATCTTATTTTCAGCTGAAGAGCCAATCAGATCACACCAATCACAGTCACCATGGCGTCTGATTGGCTGCCGATGACATCATTACTACAGAAAGTAAAACACATCACCAATTAATGACAAAATACCAGACATTCGGCCAATCGGCTCGTTGTTTGGAAGGCGCTGACAGACCCTGAAGGCAGACTGTGTCCTTTCTTTCTTTCTTTCACCCTTCAGACCACCAAAAAAAAAATCAAATTACATAAAAAAAAATATCACCGACACAAGTAAATGCCTGAGTTGTGTGGGTCGCTCAGCATTTTCTCATTCACAGCCAGAATTACCATTTTGAACACAGATCAGAGACACCTGATGAACATTTTTTTTAACATCCTTCAACAAAATGGTTCTCTGATCAATTTTTCCTCCTTTATAATCATAATATTAGCACGAGTCTTGCTGGTGGCATATAGTTGGCATAGCAAACTCAATCTGACTTTCGAGATAAACTAAGTCATGTTGAGCGTCACTGAGTATTACTTGCTGATAAACGCAATGCAGTTCTGATAGTGAGGGGGTTTTACAAGGTAGCAGGGTCAACCAGTTGGAGAGAGAGGGAAAATAAGGGTCTGTGCTGTGCTTCTGAAAGAAAAACTTTCATGACCATTTGCTAATAAATGTTATGTTCTGACAAAGCTGATCAATGGAAATGAGATTAATCAATACTATAATTAACACTTTTTTTTAAAACATTGTAGTAATTAAACTATGGATTTCTTGTGTGTGGAACAAACTAAAAGTGTTTTTTGGGTCATATCAATTTTTTACATCCTTTTTTACACCATGAAGGGAAAAGTTTTCTCCCTGTAGGCCTTAAAAATGCAAACTATTGAAACTGTTTTTAATAGTTTTGCTTTATAAAAATGGGCATATCATGCAAATGCATATTATTTTGCATTATTAAGTTGTTACACTTAAAAAATTGTCACTGCCTTAAATGATTAGATTAAATCAGATTAACTTTATAAAAATGTAACTTATATTACATTAAACTGAAGTAAAACAGTTCAATCTTCCTGAACTCTTGTATAACAAAAAAGGTTTAAATATTTAGATAACAGTAATACATTATAGCAATATTAATGAAAAACATTGTCATAAATGATAGGTCATATCAGGCTATTTTAATTCTAGCTGCATTCGCTATTTCACTAATAACTAGGAGATTAATTCATTCATTAATTCTCCTTCAGCTTAATCTCTGTTTTAGAGGTTGCCAGCGACCAGCAGGAATGAACCACCAACTATTCCAGCATATGTTTTATGCAGCGGATGCCCTTCCAGCTGCAACCTAGTATTGGGAAACATCCATACACACTCATTTACACACACACTCATACACTACAGCCAATTTTACTTCATCCAATTCACCTATGGCACATGTCTTTGGACTGTGGAGGGAAACTGGAACACCTTGAGAAAACCTATGTGAGCACAGGGAGAACATGCAAACTCCACACAGAAATACCAACTGGCTCAGCCGGGACTCGAACCAGCGACCTTCTTGCTGTGAGACACCGTGCCACCTCTTAACTAGCAAATAAAGTCTGAAAAACAATGCATCAGACAAATGTGACAGGTAAATGTAGCTAACATTAGTTTTCTTTGTTTATGTCATGTTGTAACATGGAAAATAATGTGCTGCTGGTTTGAATGATGTGTATTCGCCCAGTCAGCAGCATACTCGTGCATCACTGGTAGTTCTTATGTTGCTAGGATAGACTGTGCATTAAAATAATATTTTAGTTACTGGGGCGACATAGTGGCAGAGTGGTTAGCACTGTCGCCTCACAGCAAAAATGTCGCTGGTTCAAATCCCAGCTGGGCCAGGTGGCATTTCTGTGGTGTTTGGATGTTCTCCCCATGTGCTCCGGTTTCCCCCACAGTCCAAAGACATGCGCTATAGGTGAACTGAATAAACTAAATTGGCTGTAGTTTAAGAGTGTGTGTGTGAATAAGTGTGCATGGGTTGCAGCTGGATGGGCATCCACTGTGTAAAACATATGCTGGATGAGTTGGCGGTTCATTCCACTGTGAAAAGTGGATGAATAAATGATGTAGTTTTCCTAATAAGCCTAAAATGATTTATTGTGCAGTTTGTGCAATACAAACATGGCAAATACACCAATAGTGCTAGATCTTGGAACTATAAAAATTATCCTCCTGTGTGAAAGTTCCTCGTGCTCTACCAACTGGTTTGACAACTTTGAAGATTTTCAAAAATACAAAAGAAACCTTTTTTTGAAAAACTATAATGAAAACGCCCTCAAACAAAAACTTCCAAGCCATTTATGAAGCTTTCACAAAAATAAAAATAAAAATTTTCAGCCAGCAGAAGCAGAATTAGCCAGGGTTGGTATGTCATGAAGGTCAGTAAATGATGGCAAATATAATTTTGGTAAGAACTGTCCCTTTAATTGGAATTCTAACTTACAGGATAACAGAATGATGTTATAAAACTAATGATGGGATGCTATGGGAACTAATAATAATGTAATGTACAGTCAGTGGCGGATTTAATCAATAAGCGAGGTAAGCAGCCAGTTAGGGCCCCAGGAAATTTGGGGGGCCCCAAAAAATACCTAGAAGTATAAATTACATCTATAAATTATATATAACATTGTTTTCTCTCATATTTAGTAAAGTTGAGAGTCTAATAAATGTGCATCATAATTATTACATCTGCACAAATTTGTCTTCCATCCCCCAATAATGGTGCAGTTCAGCAAAGTCAGATGAAGATTTAGTTTTAAAAATAAAACAATGTATTTATTTATTTATTTCATTTTTAAAACAAAATGTAGAAAAGATGATTGAGTTATATAAGAAAATGTTCGCAAAACAAACAAATAAATTAATCCAAAGTGTGTAAATTAGGACTTTTGGGCGCCATGGCTGGAATTGCTTAGGGTCCCCAAATCACTAAGTCCACCCGTGAACAGTTTAAAACATAGTAATAGTGTATAACTGTGTGTGACTATTGTGTTAATAGGTATTTGATTTTAATAGTTCCAGTAAATCAGGTTAAACTGGAACAATATGCTTATATATATATATGGGTAAATCAGCATAGATATATACACTAGATATCGCATAGGGACCCTAAGCATGCGTCAATAGCGCCGCCACATTGGTACAGTGCTCCCAGGACAAATGTCATTCAACCGCACTAGTCAAGACAGTGTTATTACAAGAAGATATGCGGGACTTTAGCGCTGTCTACGGGTGTAGTAACGAGCAGAGAAAACAAAGCACAAAGGCAGAACATTTCATAGGTAAATTTTTTTTTTTTTTTTAATGTTTTTGTATGTTCTGAACTTTTGTGCTAATCAGGTAACGTTATTGATGATAACAGTCACTTACTGAATTCACCATAAGGCAAAGCAGCTTTAACTCGCACTAAACACACGGCTTATGCTAGTTTTGTTGAATAAAATCAGCAAACAATGCAAAACAAATATGACAACGAGATGCTGCGCTGCCAGAAACTTATTATTGTCGGCTAACGTTAGTAAAAGAGTCGTTCGGGGGATTCATTCACAAACGAGTCGCTCCCTCCGTCAGTATGAGAAGTGAAAGTAGGAGAGGAGATGTGTTTCAGGACATGATTAGATTAAATTTAACAGGGAGGGAAAACTAGTACATTTCTGTACACACAAACACAAGCTCAGGAATGCCCGTGCTGCAAGTGATGCAAAATTATCATTTTCGTAATTAGAAAAAAAAAATTATATACTAACATCCAGGAAAATTCCCGATCATATGTATATGTGTATATCTCTGGCTTTGGATAGCCACACTCCTCCACTGTACTTTAGTCCCGCATTCATTTCAAAGGAGCGCTACCCTGTAGCAAGATGGCGGCGCTATTGACGCATTCCGTCCAATAGACAACAATAGACCAGGCGACATCTAGTGTATAAATCTATGGTAAGTCAGTAGCTCTCTCACTCCATCTACTGGTTACTCATGTCAACTGATGAGGACACTTGCTAAAGATGCTAGATAGCGCAAACACATTTCTATATGCAAAATGTCCCGTTTTATTATGTATTTCTGTATGGACTGCAGTTCAGCCAGAAGAAGGTGAATTATTACAACCCTGCTCCAAATAATGTAATCTGAAATCGCAACCATATTAATAACGTTACATTTTGTTTGATTTCAAATACATTAGCCATAGATTAGCATTCAAGTTAGTTCACCCAAATTTTAAATTGTTAAATACTCCCTCATGTTGTTCTAATTCCCTAAGACTCTGTTCATCTAGAGAACACAAAGTAAAATAAAATATTTCAGATAAAATTCGAGTTACCTCATTCACCACAGAACTGCAAAACGATGGTACAAAGACATTCATAGTCCAGAAAAAGAATCCAGATATTGTAAAAACAATCCATGGAACATCAGTGGTTAAACAACTTTAATCATAGGCAGCTACAAGAACACTTAAAATAAATACAAACTACAACCGTTCTTCTCTTACCCGGGTCAGGTCCAGGTGCGCGTTTACTACATTCAGTACCACATTGCCATATTTACAGCACAACACGTACTGCACGTAATAAACACGCATAATTTTGTTGGCCAACAAGTGCTCTTCGGCCTTCCTTTGATTAGTTTAGAGTCAGATGAAATTTTTTGACAATGTTTTTAATTGCTCTCCTGAACTTTGAACATATCAACCCCTCTGTTGCTGTCTATGGAGGATGGAGCAGCTCTTAAATTTCACCTAAAATATCTGAATTTGTCTCAAGGAGTTGGAATAACATGAGGGTAATTTATGACCGAATAATCATTTCATTTTTATAAACGACTAATTGATTGGAAAATTCAATTAATTTAACCATTTGAACCAGTTATTTTATTAAATACTCATTTAAAAAGTGTATTTTTATATCTGACCGTGACTGCTATATTAAAATGACCCCAAGGCAGCTTACGTTTGAGTCTGCAAACAAAGTTTTTTTTTGCAAAATAAACCTGATTTAACGTCCACAAACCGCGATTGAAGCATCTTCTTTTATAATTGTACTGACATGCGGCTGTGGTGATGAAGTAAAGACGGTAAAATTGCTGTAATTCATTACAAACTTGCACTGTTTTAAAAACGTTTTAAACTTGTAAAACTCATTCTTGATCACATTTGATGATGACTGATGACCACAGGGAGCTGAACAGATCTTTAAATCCCCTTTGCTTTGCGCTTATGCTTTCTTTTTGATATGATTATTCACGTTACTAGTGACATGTTAATACGCCGCTGTCAATCAATTCCGTGGGTGGGGAAACCACACTCTTATATCATGTTGTGGTGGGCCTCAAAATGGGAGGGATTTGGATCCTATTTTAACTTCAGAAAGTAAAAAAAAACGAGAGACTTATTGTCTTTATATCACCCAACATGACTGTGGACAAACTATACATACACACAGTTATGTCCAAACTGTTTACAAAAGATGATTTTCATCATAGATGCCCTTTAAAAGATTTCTTTTGGTTTTGATAAATCCAAGTCAATATAAACACAGAGACAACACAGAAGGCTAACTCTGGGACATAACTGAATTATTTTGATTTGGCCATATCAAAACAATCCCAAAATCAATAACATACAAACTGATAAATATTTGGGCAAAGCAAAGTGAAACAGATAAACTCAGCAGCTCATGATAGAACAGAACACGAAGCTGAAGAAGGCATGCAGTGAAAATTACAGTACGCAGAACAGCTCAGCTGTACAAATAAAATGTTTACCCAGCATTTCCAACCATTAAAGGCCCTTAAATAGACACATAATTAGGTACAAAACATTCATCTAAAATACAAATCCAGTCAGTAAATTAGGATCTATAACCTAACTATATTGCATTTGCAGGAATATGTTAATTCCTGCTCATATTCCATTATTAGTGAATATTCCAATCGATAGTCCGCAAAGAAAAAGAGAAAGAAATGAAATGCATGTACCAGAGGAAGTACAAGTATTATGAGGCAGCTTGTTTTTTTTAAATCATCTGACTTTGGCACAAGAAAAATATTCTAAGTTGTCAACGGAGAGGATTACAAAATACTTCTGAGAAAGCAGTTCATGCTTATAAGACTAAGTGTCCAGAAAAGGTGGGTAAGAAATACTGGAGACGCTGCGTTCAGCTCTTAAACTGACAGTTCTGTGAGAGGCCAGTCGCTTTAGTTCAGCTCAGAGTCACTGAACAGCTGCTTCGCTCTCCTCTGGTTATGAGTTTGTTTTTTTGCATGACAATGTCGGACCGATAGTGACTCCAGTGACAGTCATCTAAGCCTGTGTCTCTTGACCACAATTGTTCCAGCCACAATGTCATACACTGTCCTGTTGTGCTGGAAGAAAAGAAGTGTGATAAAAGCCGGAAAGAAGAAAGCAATGGAGAAGTTCTTGTTTAACGCTCTCACTGTTGACCTACAAAAAAAAATAGATTTAAATTACTTTAACAATAGGAAAACTAAATAGATTTTTTTAAATGGCAAAAAAAGACTGCAATACTGACGCAGAAAGTGTAACATTAGTCGCTGGTACCACACGAACACGGTTTGGCTGAACCAGGACAGAGCTGTCACATGTGACCACTCGCAAACCAATGAGGAACTTCCCTGGTGTGGCCCCTCCAGCTCCCCAAATACATATGATCTGAAAACAATCAGAACACAGTTACACAGCTCTTAATGACTTATTTCAGAGGATTAACTCAACTGTGTGTGAACTAACCTCATAAAAGCAAACTAATATCCTGTACACTAGAGCCACGAGCATCATCTTCTGCAGCTCCTCCATTGACGTGTCCTCATCGATCTCCTCCACAATGAAGTGCATAGCAAACTTTGAGATGTCCCTAAAATAGGATTTTAAATGGGTAAAGAGTTAAAATGAAGGATTATTTGATGTAGCTTGTGTAATATGTTAGGAAATAGGTGAAAAGTTGTCTACATTTTATATAAAGAAAATTGTCAAAATTGTGATAAATTAATGCTTCGTCAGTCATTATAACAACTATATAAAAATGAAACAGCACTAACCTGTACATATTTAAATATTTATAAATAGTAAATATTTATAACAGATGATACTAAAGTCTTATTTATTTTTTACATTTAAATATATATATATCTTTTATGTTTTTGTTCTAAATATACCTAACAATATTTTTTGGTATATAAACTACTTTTACACAATGACATGTAAGTCTTCTAAAAACATTGTGGTGATAAAAGATAATAAAATGATACAGGGCTGTTACTTTACATCTTTGACCCAAATGTAAACTAAAATTTCAGACTCACTTCATTCCGCTCAAATGGACAATACTGATGATAATTGTAGCTTTAATGAAGAAAAGAATAAAGAAGTCCACCATTTCCGCAATGAACCGCTGGAGGGGAGAGGGAATAGAATATTCTCTACCTAGACAAAACAAATTATAAACATTAACTGATTTTGTAAATCATTCCGGTTATGCAGTGTAATATCTCGTCCCACCATATATGCTCTAATATACTGTATAATAAACTCATAATATAAAACTAAGGGGTCTTCAATTACTACATCAAATGGATTATTTCATAATTTGACCTGAACATATACCACCAATTGCCATTATCAAATTTCTAAAAAATTATGAAAGAATTGTTTCTCCAGTTGAAAACTCTCAAACAAAACACTTTTTTAAAAATGAAACTATTGCTGGAATTAACCTTTTTTTTCTTTCTTTCATTCAATTAGACACTTAGTCTTCTAAAATCCCTTATGGTTAGCTAACAGGATGACCAGGGAGCTCCTCATACCAATAGATTTGACATAATGTAGCAACAGATTTTTGCAATTTTGTTTTAAATTTAAGTTATAATATTTGCTTTGTTTTGTTTTATTAATAAAGAAAAAATTCTGATAAATGACAGAAATCTGAATTTTACCAAAGTTAGTGTCAAACTTACTGACACTTTTTGTAGCTGCCTAACTGAATATCTCAACTACATGTCCTGTTAGACATCCTAGTAAACATTGACAGTAAATTATTAAATAAAGATTCCCAGTATTGGGATGCAGCTGGAAGGGCATCCACTGTGTAAAACATATGCTGGATAAGTTGGCGATTCATTCTGCTGTGGCAACCCCTGATTAATAAAGGGACTAAGCCGAAAAGAAAATAAATGAATAAATGTTTACCAGAGCTGCATGATATTGGAAACATTTGACATAGCAATATTTTTTTCTCTGTGATATATGTTGCGATATATGTAACATAATATAGTGTGATATAATTTCACCAGATGACTGAAATAACTCTTTTTGCAACGACTTTAGATTAATTGGGATGATTTTATAGGGAAGTAAAATATTTTTATGAAATTTATTACATACATGTAATAAACTAAATACAGTCATAAATAAACACAATGCAGCAAATATAAAAGTGAAATAATCAATGATTTATAGTTTTCTGTCGAGAGTCAAACAGAAACTGAACAATCAATTGTAAATTAACAATGCATAGTATTCATCATATAAATGGTTTGATAAAATGAATCTTTATTAAACTTCTTAACCTCGATTAAAATGCTTAGAATGCTCATGAAATGCTTTCATAGTCAGTCACATGCCTTAAAAACACATGCAAATAATAATTATTTTTCACTCTACTGTGCTTAAAGAGAGCCCCCACAAATCTCATGTGTTTTGACCCGTGGTTCCTGGTCGTCTATAATCCCAACTCGACATTGCATATATATTGCAGACACACAGATTGTTATATAGATGCTCAAATGATACATAATGCAGCTCCAATGTTTACACAATGAAGCGATAACAATACAGTTTATATATTGTATGTATAATTGATTCATTCATTATTCATTTGTTTATTCTTCTTTGGCTTAGTCCCTTATTTATCAGGGGTCACCACAGCAGAATGAGCTGCCAACTATTCCAGCATATGTTTTACACAGCGGATGCCCATCCAGCCACAACCCAGTACTGGGAAACACCTATACACACTCATACACTACGGCCAATTTAGTTCATCTAATTCACTTACAGCGCATTTCTTTGTAAAACCCAGCCGGGACTTAAACAAGCGACCTTCTTGCTGTGAGGTGAAAGTGCTAACCACTGAGCCACCATGCTGCCTGTATGTATAATTGTTTAGTAATATAATTATTACTAATGGTCATACAATAAAATAATAATGTGAAATTGTTTAACCGTTTCTATTTTAATATATTATTAAATGCGGCAACTTAATATTGTGCTAAAAAAAGCTGAATTTTCAGCATCAGTACTCTAGTATAGTAATGATGCTGATAGTCTTCAGTGTGTCACATGTAATTGTGCTAATAAAAATGTGAATGTCAATGAAATGCTTACTTAAATTTTCCTTTTTATAAAGTAATAGTTCTATATATGTGCATGACTAAGTACAATCTAAAATATGCACCACTTAAATACACTGTGCAGAAAGATTCGTTCATACTCGTCTGACAGCTGAGCTGTCAGTTTTTAGGCAATAGTCAAAACAGAGAACTGTAGCTGTCACTTTTAATTGCAAATAAAGATGATGAACAGTTGACTGGACAGTATCACCTGGCTGTTGAGCGTTTCCATTAGCTTGTTGTTGTTGTAGTATCTGCGCAGGTGCAGTGGCTGGAGCTGCAGAACTCTGTCCGTTTGCTGGAACTGCTACATTTACCGCTGCAGCAGGAAACCCAAACGGGTTGTTAAGCCAGTTACGAAGGTCTCCATTTGACATATCTGTTCCCCATGCCGTCGTCCCGTGCGATTCAGTCGCTCCTTGTGCGGGGAAACACGGTGGGAAGGAAAGCGCAGACATGGCTATCCAGCTCTGCCAGTTCATATAGCTGCAGTAGTACTGCCACATCCACTCCTGCAGTTTCTCGCAGTACTCGGTAGTGTTGACAGCGGTCGAGTTCACTTGTTTGCCCTGGGACGAGGGCTCACGAATCGACGTTTTCATATTTTCGCTCTCTCCTGGCGATTTTTCCTTGTCGCGAGCGTTTTCATTAAACTCCGCCATGACACTTTTGTTTTGTGACGAAGTCGGTAACGATTTGATCAACTTCCGGAATTTTTTTTGATGCATAATAAGAGTGGGGGACTATTTATTAAAGCCGAACTATGTGGTTGTAACCAGTATTTTAAGTGTTGATAGGCTGTTTATAACTCATAAAAAGAAACTAGATAAACTTATAAATGCAAAATGTTTTCATAAATAGACGTTGATTTTCAAAGAAGATTAATAAAATATTTTTCTTTTTTTACACAACATAGGAGAAAGCAAGGTAAGGTGTGTCACCCCCTTAAAGAGACAGTTCATCACAAAAATTTAATTCTGTCATAATTTACCCTCCCTTCACTTATTCCAAGCATGTTTTAGTTTATTTTTGTTTGTTAAATACAAAAGAAGATATTTTGAAGAAAGGTGGAAACCTGTATCCATTGATATCTGGTCAATGGTTTTCAACTTTCTTCAAAATATTCTCTTTTTTGTTCAACAGAAGAAAGAAACTCAAAGGTTTATAACCACGTGAAGGTCAGTAAATAGTGAGTAAATTCATTTTTGTGAACTATCCCTTTAATGGCAGACATGGTGGCTCATTGGTTAGCACTGACGCCTCACAGCTAAGCTGAATGATGATCCCTTTAATCTGACATAATATACAATAAAATTGTTAGCATATACTTAGACATGATTCATAACAGCTGCTTGTGTTTGGTAGATGGACGTGTGAAATGTGGAGTAATACTCTCTGGTTTTGCACCATCATTAGCCTCCTTTCAACCAAAAGAAAAATAGTAGGATGTTACTGGATCACTTTCTATAGTTTTGTGGCAATATTTTGTTTATAAATTGATTTCTGCATATTTTCAAGTAACAGTTGACATTCCATTTTTAACTTCCTAAAAATTACATTGTGTCTATATAGCTTTAAGGTTTTAGTGTTCCAAAATTATATATAGCTTATATGTTTTTGGGGAAAGGGAATATATATTTTAAACATATTTCTGTCTCTTTTTAATTTTATTAAACAATTATATTTGTATTACTTTTAAGGTGATATATCAACTGAACTCCCTGTTGAGTGTGATATGCTTTGTATACTAATGAAGCATTTTTGCAGAAGTAGATGAAGCTGAACGAAATGGAAAGGCCTGATTAACTTGAGCACTGCAGCTAAACTTCCTGTCCGCAGAAATGTCTTGAAACTTAGGCTTTTCATGTTGTGCAGAGAATTCATAGAAAAAGAGGACGTATGTATGGGTGCGGCCAATGGAGGACTGGAGAATGATTGACAAGTGACAAATTCCACTAAACTCCACCTGTTAATATCAGTCAGGAAATAAAATTGGTTGCATCTCCTGAATGTAAATTTTGCACTGCATTGAGGATAAAAGAATTCTGTGAACCAAATTATTTATATGTATCCAATTAATTACTAATATTTTTTTAGATATTGAAGAAAAATCTCTCTTGACCTTTTTTAATGAACACGCATAGAATTGATTACATATCCCAACAATATACAAAAATAGCAAAGGGATTGTAGCAAAGATTTTATTGAGTTACACAATGGAGTAATTTTTTTATTTTTATTTTGGTAAAAATGTATCTCAAAACACAAAACGTACGCCATATTTATATTTTTAATACTTTTAAACATAGCTAATTTACGTTATTTACCTTAAGTTAACAATTATTGTATTCTTTTTAATAGCATTTTTACAGACAAATATATTATCATATCTCATTTACATATATAAAAATTCTAATTAAATTCTGTTTGACTTATATTATTTTACAGAAACAATGGAGTCATGTTTCAACAAAAATTGAGGTAAAATGTATAGCAAATCCCAAGCCTGATGCTGAATACGGCAGCAATAATGATGTTGACAAACCATATCAACGACAGAACCCAATTAATTGAAGCAATAATAAGAATATTGTGACAATATCAATGTACAAGTTCAAAGCAGCAAAGATGTACTCTTCTGGACTGATGCTGTATTTGTGCTTTCCTCCCAGTATGAGCTGTGTGTCAATCACCAAGTACTTAAGACAGATACAGAAAAGGAGTAAGATGAGGACAGCAGTAAATGGGGACTATTATCCACAAGACAATAAAAGATTGTTAGCAGAACATGATTACACAATGTCATGAAGTTCTCCAGATAAGGATTATCCATCTATATGTTTCAACAAAACTTAAAAGGGTAAACATTATTAAGAAAGAAGTGCACTTACCACAGAGAAGATCAAAGTTCCCAGCGATGCATAAAAGATGTACAAATACTGTGGAACACAAATGTTAGCTTGAATGAATATATACATAAGTAAACTCTTTTGATTAGAGCAAATAAAGGTTGACCATTTACCTGGGATCTCAGAATTGCGCAAAGCAATGCAAATGAAAACAGTGTCCAGCTCATTGCCCAGATGCATCCTGAAGCAGCTGTAAAGTCCCACTAAAACAAGCAATGACATGGTTACGTGCTTTATACATTTCATATTTTGCAGTCAACACTTAGCTTATTAAAGGCTCATTTTGCAAGTACCCTAGAGTTAAACAGTTAAGTTAAGCCATTTTTAATCTATTCAGCCCATCTCTAGAGCTGTTTCTCAATTCCAAGAACGCAGAGAACAGACATGCGTTCTTGTGAAGACCGGTCTTGCCAGGTAACTTTTGAAGAACGAACTTGGGAGACTGCAAGAACAGAAAACACATCCTATGAGAAATGGAATGCAGCGTTCTTTAATGGTGACATGACGCTTACGCATATTTAACCGAAAATTATTTAAACATCACAGCATTTATACATCGATTTATTTTTCCCCTTTTCACAATGTATACTATGCATAAAGACTTTACAAATATACATCGCACAATACAAGTAAAACAGATTTTAATAGGAATTTCAGCAAATAAACACCCTTAATGTGTTTATGCCTTTATTAAGATTTTCATTTTTTTACTTTCACCGTTTCATTTAGGGAAACTCCTGAGACAAATAAGTTATATCTCTGAACTGTAATAATAAATCTGTGTAAAATGCTGCGCTTTCTGCTGACAGTGACCCAATTCTGGGACTTCTAGAGCGAGAGCTGCGCTCAAGTCTGCATCAGTGCGTCCTCGATATCAAAAACACATCCGGGAACTTTCACGCGTCCTCTGTACTTGCAGTCTTGAGTATTGGAACTGAACTTTGGCAGCTGATTACGACGCTACACGAGAACACAAGGACGTAAGATCACTGAAGAACGCCTATTGAGAAACAGCCGAGGTCTGGTGGGGGCACTTTTTAGCTTAGCTTAGCATAAATAATTGAATTGGATTAGACCATTAGCATCTAGCTTTAAAGGTGCAGTAGGCGATTGTCTTTAGAAACATTTTGTATTGTGCTAGTTGAAAATCTCATCACATTCCAATGGTAATAATTTAAGTAAATGATCTAAATGTATTTATATGTATTTTTATATACTGGGTAACACTTCCCATAATTCTGATAAGTAGCCTGTCAACAAATGTAGATCTGTGCACATGTTCACACAGATCTGCCATTTGCACGTGCACATGAGAGTGTCAGCAGTAAAAATAAATGCTGAATCAAAATTGGAGTTACTTTTGCACGCTGGAGGAAGGATTACACCATGGCTGAAGTATTTCTTTTAGACAGGTAATTTATGTTTTAAAACTGTTTTAGTCACGCAAAGCTGATGTAGATTGTGTTGTTTTACAAATGGGTTATATCCATGGTACTGTTGTGGTTTACCAAGTGAAATCTTCTGGCGAAAGATCCATGTGACTATTTACAATAAGGGACCTTTTACAGCATCAATAATGCTGATTTTTATTTAGTTTAACAATAAAACATAAGTAAATAGCACTATTCCGCCTAGCCTACTTTACTAAGGTGAAGTTGGTTTTCACATTACATTGGTTAATTTTTGAACAACGTTAGCCTGTGACGCCCTTCCTATTTTGTTAATCGTGCTACTTTGAATATTTACTCTGAAATGGCATGAAAATATGGCTTAGAAATAAGTGTAATTTCTGCACCCTGCCGGCCAACCACTATACAGTAGTCACATTAGGACAAAGCATGTGAGAGAATGAGACCAGGAATCCTTGCATTTAAGTTTCGCTTGCTACATAACTAAAAAACATGCTAGATACAATAGTTTTTTGTTCAGAATTGGAGTATTATTAAGCACTATAAAGTTTGACATGATCTAGTAGTGTACAGTCATCTTTACGGTGGTGTCCATGATTTCAGGAGGCGTGGCTTTAGACGGCATTGTATCAAAGATATTATGCTAAATGGTTACCATGTTGGCAGATCACCTACCGCACATTTAAAATCTGAATTTAAAATAATTAAAGCCATTCAGTATTTTTTCTATATAAAGCTTGAACCTTCTGTAGTTACATCCTGTATTAAGATCAACAGAAAATGAAACGTTATTTTTAAGCTGATATGGCAAAGAACTACTCTCATTCTGGCGTAATGATCAAGGAATTTTTTCTGATGTACCATGCCTGCACAAGGACTATGATATTGTGCAGTGCATGAAAATAGATAATGTAGATGTAAATGTAGAAAGTTAATGTAGAAAATAAATCTACACTTTATTTCCTCCTCCATGACATCCAAGATGCTTATAACTTAAATTTATAAGCTAAATTTCTATTAATGGAAGTAATTAATTGGAGCTCACTGCATTTTTGATGATTCATATTCAAAATTTAAACAGTTTCCAACTCATTCATTACTTTCTAATAAAAACTAAAGGTGTGTTCACACTTGGCAGGTTTGTTTTGATTAAAACCAAAAAACCAAAACGAACTCTGTTACAGTGGCTGAGAAAGCTCAAACAAGCTGCAAATTAAGAAAACAAATTGCAAATAGTGAAACGCTAACAAACTGGTTGGATGACACACAGGCACTGCAAATGTGTACAGAAACAGTCAGAAATATCACAGACCAAAACACAAATGTGTCAGGGGATCCCAGAAACTGACAAACCCGGCTGCTTCCTGTTTATAGTCAGGGTTCATCACATTTTTGGGTCCCCCAACACATTTCCTGTGTGTTCTGATCTATTTGCAGTCTGTTTCTGTATTTGTGTGTGTTGTGAAAATCGACTGGCCACTGTAAATTGCTGTAGTATTAAGATTGCTGGACCACTTCCAAACAAAGACTTGATGTCTCAAAATGCCATAATGCTCAAACAAACCTGTTGCTGATTATTGCAATTAAATTACAGGCATCAAAATACAAGGGTTGTTATATAAATTTATGTGCATTTTTAATGTTTATTTTTTTCTAAAAAGGGTTGATTGTTTTGGTAAAGAAGACCGCCGGCGTTATACAGATTTTACCTGCCTAAAATATATAATGGTCTGCACTGACCCCCAGTCACTTGCATTAGAAGGAAAAAAAATTTCAAATAAAAGCTTAATTTTTCTTTGTTAGCAGAAAAAAAATCTCAGCTGGCCAGAGGAGGAGTGAATAATTATTACAGTTTTATATTTGGGTGAACTACTGCTTAATACAATACATGAAGTCAAATCCCACTTTAGTTAGTACTTACTTTAGACTGTAGTGAAAACAAACTCATTGCAAGTGACACCAAAGCCGTTGCACCCACTGCCCAAAGCACCGCTTCTGCTGAATAGTACCTGCAAAAGGACAGATTCTTGTTTTAAGTATTGCTGTCTAACTAAAGGTTTTGTAGAATTGAATTGTAATTTCATGTAACTGAAGCACATTTAAATCAGCTTAAATTATGTTTTTCACTCACACTACCACTGATCCAAGGAGACAGCCTTCTGCAATTGTCTGTGTGGGAAGACAGCACTTAGCATTTGCAGCAAAATATGACATTCAATGTTTACCATCATTAAATTGTATACTTACAAACAGTCCTAGGAAGATGAAGTTTAAAGGAACTTTGCGACGTATATCAACACAACATACGAGCACAATAACCAGAGCAAATGTAACACCCCTGGGGAATTTAAAGCAAACACCAGAAGTCAGTACAAAATATCAATGGATTCAGTTGAATATAAATGATTATTATATAAGACACTCTGAACAAAGACAGCAGAAGTGCTCACATCATGGTGTAGGTAAACCAGTATGTGTCTTTCACCCAGTCGCTGAGTGTCTCCCTATAAAATATAATAAAAAACCTTTCAAATGAGATGGATAGTTAGAATATACACTCGCTGACCACTATATACACCTTGCTAGAAGTGGGTTGAAACAGGGGCGCAACTGCACATTAAGTGAGGGGTATACGATTTCAAGATTTTTGTCTATATTGATATGATAACACCGCAAATTTGAATGTTATTAGTCGATTGAATGAGCATTATCAGTGGTTATCAGCTGATAGATATGGGCCAGTAGGGGCCCTCTGCGCCTACTGGTAAGTTCAAAAGGCTGTTATCAGTCTACATGGTTAATCAGCTATATGAGGTATCAAATTTCTGCTCTTCTCAGAAATAAATTCACGAGAGGCTGCTCCGATTGGGCTGCCCTACTCCCTCTCTAAACCCAACCGTCAGTTTTTTTTTTTTCAAAATCACTGATTGACCTGCTCTCCTTCCCTAAACCCAACCGTCTGATTTTCAAAGGCAATCAAAAGCAAATTATTTACTTATTTTCTCCTTTTTTATACTTCAGCCTCCACATCAAAGTTCCTGAAAGCAAAGAAGGTCAAGGTGCTCCAGGATTGGCCAGCCCAGTCAGCAGTCATGAACATTATTGAGCATGTCTGATGTAAGTTAAAGGAGTCATTGAAGATGAATCCAAAGAATCTTGATGAACTCTGGGAGTCCTGCAAGAACACTTACTTTGCCGTTCCAGATGACTTTATTAGTAAGTTATTTGAGTCATTGCAGAGATGTGTGGATGCAGTCCTCCAAGCTCATGGGAGTCATACACAATATTAATTGTTTTTCCACTGCATGACTTTATATTCTATACTGTACATTATTTCTGTTAAGTGACAAGACTTTAGTCTAAGCAAAGACAGACCTCACTGTCCTAATTAAATAATTAAAAATCAAGGCATGATCATATTTTATTTTGGTAAAATAGGCGTAATCTAGAAGCCTTTGCCTATAAGCAACCTTTGATACCAAATGATCAACTGGAAGTCAAGTTATTATTTGTTGTTCCTAAAACTTGGAAAGGTGACAAGACTTTTGTCAGGTAGTTTATTAGCATGTCTCAGTATTAATGCATAGAATTGTGTCCACGAGACAGGATTTGCAAAGAAACTGGGATTAAAAGATTGTTTTCAACTCTCTGTGATCAAACTTAAGAAACAGTAGTTGTAGACTTATTGGTATTTTTATAGCATTTTAAACTAAACTTTTAGAGTAATTAATAACTGCTGCAATCGCTATAGTTGAGTTGTCATTTTGCTGTGTTTATCCTGACATCTAACCCTGGTTATCCTTCTCTGAAAGGAAGAGTGGGTGTGAAGAACCAGCTAGTTTTCTTTTAAAGGTCCAGGTGCAAAAACAGCTACAACTACTTCTGACTCAAAAATGGACATTTTCTACAGGGTATACTAAATCTGATTGATATTTTGACACAAAAGTCACATTTAGAGCCCTTTAAAGTTTGATGTTGTATGTTCAGAGATGTTCTTCTTCAGACTTCTGTTGCAACAAGTTTTTATTTTTTGAGGCATTGTTGCTTTAATCAGTTTTATTCTTTAACCTTTCTGGCCATCTTCCTCTGGCATTTGACATCAACAAGGCATTTTTGAAATGCTAAATATTTGAATATCGCAACAACCATATGTATAGTCACTTAAATCACCTTGCTTCCTTATTCTGATGCTCAGTATCAACTTTCGGATCATCTTACCAAGGTGGCTAAATGCATTAAGATGTTGCGTTTGGCTATTACATTTACATAACAAGCAGTTTAACATTTTTGCCTAATAAAGTGGCCACTGAGTGTATATTTCTTAAGTCTTTACGTTTTGTGTACTCCATTACCTGTCCCTTTTGCTATTAATTATAGGTGTGGCAACATAAATACCAGTCTACTTACCAATAAAGGAAAGCACAGATGATTCCAACAGTTATCAGTAGCTGAATCATAAGTGTCAAGTAGACTTTTCTTATAAAACCTACATGGGGCACATTTACACAAAGAGTGACATATCTATTTCATAATAAATACTTTCTTTACCTTTATAAAACACTGCCAAGAAATTGCAGTCATTTCATAAGATTTACCTCTTCTTATGGCAGCATCTGAAAAGCAGTTCTCATTCTCAAAGCCCAGGGTATATTCTGGAGGAGCGTCGTCTGGATTCCCCATATTGACATTTTCAGCAGTGGGGGGCATCATACCAGCGAGAGGCATCATGCCCATTGGTGGATGCCCAGCATTACCTTGTGTTGCATTTGGATATTGTGGATACCCAGCATTACCTTGTGTTGCATTTGGATATTGTGGATACCCAGCATTTCCTTGTATTGCATTTGGATATTGTGGATACCCAGCATTACCTTGGGTTGCATTTGGATATTGTGGATACCCAGCATTTCCTTGTATTGCATTTGGATATTGTGGATACCCAGCATTTCCTTGGGTTGCATTTGGATAGTGTGGATACCCAGCATTACCTTGCGTTGAATTTGGATATGGCGGAGGGTAATAAGGGTTGTAAGAAGGTGGAGATTGTTCCTTGTTCATCTCTGAATGTTAAAACTAAATGTTAGTATAGAGAAATTTAATTTAGAAAATCAAGAATAAACAAACACCTAAAAGTGTGCCTTTTATGAAACATGTAATTCAAAAAGACAAATGCTACATATGCCAGAATTTTATCTTGAGTAGCCTGGTGATGATGTAGGATTAAGATCTGGTTTAACTTAGCACATGAAACTTTCATAATAATAGATTCTTAAAGTTTTCAATTATAGTGTTAAATTATATTGTAATTATATGTATATTGTAAAATTTACTTTCAATAGAACCTTCACTTACCTTTTGTCTGCCACACGTTGCTTCCTGTTATGAGCTGTGAAGGGCAAAGTCTGTTCTCGATCAGTGTTTCTTCAGAGGGGCAGGACTTTGCCTGGCCCATCAAATCAATACACATTCATGATAGCCAAGCACACAGGTGGAATTTTGTTTCCCATTTGACAATGAATTTAAACTATTTTACAATGAATCTTACAAGTGACATTTACAAGTGACTTTGTGTGTTTACTGATATTTGACAGTGATATATAAAGTAATTGTATAGTATTTAGATTCTATTGGTTGTTTATTTCATGTTTTTATTCTAAATATCTGTGTTTGCACGTTTTAATGTCAGTTAAATCTTCATATCAAGCGTGCTATGGGCGTGCTTTTTCTTGAAGCGACCTGATTGGTAGAATTTTTTTTTCTCGATTTTAAAATAATCAAAAAGTATTTAAAATGTGGGTCAAAAAAGGAAAAACTTACATGGCCCACATATCAATTATTAACATCTGGGCCAAATATTACATTTTACATCTGGCCCAAGTATTGTGTGCCACCTTAAAGACGGTGCCACCTCTGCCAAACCAGGGCCATATTTGGCCCACATGCTGTATGCCAGTGCCGGATGAATGCCTACCATCCCAGATTTATGCCAAATCAAAAAATGTATGCCTGGGTGGTGAAATTACCTTCCCAATCCCATCTGAAGTACAAAGTCCCTACTGAACAGACAGTTAAACTGCACTTGACAGCATTAATGTCTTTTCATAAAGATACAAACTTCTTATCTGGATCAAGAAGTAAGTTAACATGGAATTCACTGAAGACACAATTCTCCACACCTCCATGAGCTACTGAAAACAGGTGTGAGCCTCCACTGACCTAGGACACAGAAACATTCATATTTATAACACTGAAAAACAGTTAATGTTATTTCTACATGCTCTGTTAGGTTAACAAAAAAAACATGGCTTTTGGTTCCATACACATATAAGACCTCACCTTTGAATACAACATAATAATATAGTCGTGCATCTCTGAGCGTCATATGTGGGTTTTTACTTTCAGACTTGATCCAACTTCATCTTGCAGACCTACAGCAAGAACTAACCTCAAATGATATAACTTAAACATTACATAGCATATCCTGTAGATGGCGTTAAATGTATTGACATCTAAAGGTGCAGGTGTGCTTACCTGAGTCATAAATAAAACATGTGCCCATAAGTTCAGATGAACGACAAGCAAAAAAACAAAGATCAAGAAAATGTCTATTAATAATTCATTAACTGCTTATTTGTATGTAAATATATCCAAGCACCGGCGGATCGGTCCTGCTTAATGAATAATTTATGAGATTCTGCAGCAGTTTTCTCAACCACTGCCCATGCAGAGCAGCACGTTGGAATTTTCCAAAGTTATATTTGTTCACGTTTCTCTTTTCCTAGAGATTTCTTTTTTTCTACTTTGACAAATATTGTTAAAACACGTCCGTAATGACTAGTTTTCTATAGCGACGTCTTTAATTCTGCACAAGTTTGTAAGTTGGCCTGTTTTGAGGTGTACACATAGCCAGTCTTCAGGCAATCCGAGGGAGGGGAAGAGCAGAGGGAGGGCGTGAGGAAGAGAGAAGGGGACAAGAGGCGAAGATGGGAGGAGAGAAGAGAGAACCAGAGAGATCCACTGGCCTTCAGCGAAGTGCTTAATATTCAATGACCTATGATCCAAACTCACGCAGGGGACGTCAAAACAACAGTGGTTTAATCATCTCAAAGAAGGAAGCGCAGGGTGAAGTCAACTACTGCTCTTGCACTCAAAGCCAGCGCTTGCCGTCGGCGATTTCCAAACTTTGGCGTTTAACAATTCATTTCCCAAGTCAGGATGGAACGGCGTCTTGTATCGTATGCAAATACGTCTGCTGACGTAGTTGATCATGTGGGTTTTGGCGTAGATCCCCCTGTGATCGCCAATTTTTTTCGGCTGTTGTCTTTAGGATTCGGCAGAATCATTACAATCGCACGCTTCTGTCGGCTGTACACGTGGAAAAGTAAGCAATTTTGGACCCTAGCTGGCAATAACATCACATCCCTGCGTTTTCCGTTGGAGGTGGGCAGGTAAGAATGAGCGAATTATTTGTGTCGGTTGGAAAATTAGCAAACAAACCTTAAAGTTGCGGGCGTGTTTGTATACACACAATAAGTAGTTGTTTCGGAAAGGGCTGTGAAGTGCTGCTCGTGTCACTTGTTTATTTCAGTTGAACTTTGTTTGCTGTATAGGTATATTGTAGAAAGTGAGCAGCAGAATAACCGCATCGACCTGACCCGATAACCTCAGTTTTTAACGTTTCCAGCGCTGTGATTTGGTGTGGCTTGCGGAAAGTTTCGCGGAATGGTTTAAGTTAAGCGCTATTGGGCGCGAGAACATGTCTACTTCTCTGATGTCGAAATAAGCAGCAAAATATGGCTACCAATGTCGACATGGCGTTACGTCGATCCAAGTGATTTTTTTATTCGGGTCTGTCTTACCCTAGTAACGTCTTCTTTTCGATTGTACGCCAAGATCGAATTCAATTTAGTACTAAGAATGATTAATTCATGCACTTGTATGAAGTGAGCACGGCACGCAACTACTTTGATTTCGGCTTGGTGTCGTATGATGTAGGCAGTGGTGACGCCTTCCACGACCATACTGCATGGCACACGCATCAGACGCGAGCCACATTGCAGCACTGTGTTCACATCTGTTATACTTTCTAGAATCGTCGCATCTGCACTACTCAAAGCAGGCTATGTAGAGCATATGCATTTCTGTAAGCTGCATATGATGCTCGATAAGTGGCGATAAGAGTTCTTAATTTAGCCTATCGCGAACAATCTCCGCGAATATTCCTAGGGCACTTCAGGTGATTGGAGTGTGTAGAGCGAACACGTGATATTTGCTTTAGTGGGCAGTCAGATGTGATTTCAAAAGCATTCAAAGTATCTATACTCTGAATCTTCCATCTGTCTGACATCCTGAGCTTGTTTACTCGCAGTATATGGCTAGCAGATCTTCTCTACTTTTTCAGGTAGTTTGACGCTATTGTGAATTCATTGTTGGAATATTTGCCCAATAGAATGAAAGCAGAAATATGTTTTTTATAGGATTCAGAGGTTCTTGAAGTTAAGTTAAATCAAATTAACGAGGCACAAGCACCTGTGTGTTGTAGATCTTTCAGCGCCTTCTGTGGTGCATTCTAAAATGTTATTGAGGTAAGGCAAGTTTAACACATTCAGACTTTCTCCTTGATAATATGTCAGAAAAGTATGCTTTGTAAATTCCTAATAGTAAAATCATATTAGCAATCAACAACTATCAAAGCTCAACACTTTTCACATTCAATTAAATAGTGTTCATTCATGTTGTTTTGTAGTCATATTTACATGTGATTTTAGTTCAAATATTCAAAGTACCATGGTAAGCATTATAAGCAGTGTCACAAGTCGTCACTAAACAAATGTGCGAATATAAAACCAACTTTACTGCAATTCAAATATATATATTTTTTCACAATCTGTATATATATATATATATATATATATATATATATATATATATATATATATATATATATATATGTATATGTATATATATATATATATATATATATATATGTATATGTATATGTATGTATGTGTGTGTGTGTGCACATATTTACTGTGTGTTGTGAGTGTTTCTATGTTGTGGTTAGTCATACTCTAGACATATTTCTCCTTCCTTAAAAAACTAGAATTACTCGGTGTAAAATACTAAGTTAGATCTGAAGTTTAAATGATTAAAAATCACATTGGTTGCTTTGATTTATTAACTTAGTCCTAATACAATGTTACATCACAGTCAGTTAGTACCATGTTTTATTTTTTTAATTAATATGAGTAGGTATTTGACACAATATTCAGAAATGTGCGTTTTCTCTTTTATTAAACAGACTCGCTGTAGGAAATTGCTGTTTTTGAAGGTGCGTTCCCCTATTGTAATCGCATTTGGATAAAGTTTCATTGAAGTTTAAGAACTTTTAGTAAAAGGCTTATATAGATCCAAGCATCCATACATATGTACATGAATGGTCCCAAAACATAAATTAAACAGCAGTCACATTTAGCATACCTAAATTATAACAAATTCTAAAAAAAAAAAAAAAAATCTAAATAAAACAAACTCTGTCAGACCTTTACACTAAAAAATCCTGGTTTCCCTAAATTTTTAAGCTGAATCAAATTAACTTTAAGAGTCCATTGCACTTATATTATGTTAAACTGACTTAAAACAGCTTGCGTAACTTATACAATTAAGTTAGAACATGATTAATTTAGTTTTATAGGTTACATGACCTTAAAACATTCATATAATCGTATAATTTTTTTACAGAGTAAGAAAATACTGATTCGGTATTATAGAATTCTGTCTAAATATTCTGTATTTTGCATTTAGAAGCAACTAAACATTCTCTCACTCTCTGCAAACCTTTAGCGTTCACTTTGTGGGACGTTATATGGAATCGTGTCTCAGTACAAAGCTTTATTCATGGAACCGAGACTGAGATAACTTTTACAAAGTAGTGACGCATATCATCAAAAGTACTACTCTGCCTGAGTTGCTCTGGTGCAAAATGCGGTTTGTGCCAGGTGACTGGCTGGATTCAAAATGGCTGCCCGCGTTCGTGAAGAGCTGACGTCTTTGAGGAGGTGGTTGCTGCTGCCTCTGCCTCGTAGCTCGTGCTGTCGGTGACTAAGCCGACAGTCGCTGATGTCACAGCCGTGGGTTGGGCTCCCTTAAAAGCTGTGTGTTCTCTGTCGGTGCTGGTGGTCATGACTCCACTGAAAGCAGAGCCTCTTTGTGAGGGAGTCTGGCCTCACATTGAAGCCAGGTTATTTATTAGTCATCACTACCAAAGCTATTAATTTCCTTCTGCGTTCATGTCCTGGAAGAGCGAGTCAGAACTGATGTGCGCTACCAGCTGAAGTTGCAGTTCAAGTTGGCATACTATTCTGCTCTGTTTTCTGCATAATGAGTACAACAAGTCATGATTCATCGCTGTGCATGTCATATATTTTGCAATCACACTCCAGTGATTATAATGCTAGAATGCTTTTGAGTGGCAGTGGAAACAGTCGGGCCTCAGCAGAGTAGATTCTTCCCTTAACAAAAGAAAATAAACAAACACAATCAGTTTGAGAGGGCTGTTTTCTTGATAGGAAACTTTTTCCAGTCGCTTGTGCTGAGCAGCCTCTCTGTTGCCAATTTTCTGCCCTACTTTTGCAGCCGTGACCCAGCTTTTTGGAGGTGTAATGGAGAGACTGCATATAACTACACTGACCATAATAACCAGCAGCAGAATGGAAGATCATGCTGTTTATTTTTTTGCTCAGGTGTTGTTAAATTAAGGCAGCCGCATCTTGAAGGTTGTCAATCCTCAGGTGACTTGAGTTTAATTCATGGTGTCTCAGCTCTACTTTTTAGAGAAGCTTGAAGTGTTATAGCAGCTGTGAAAGATAAAGGTGTTTATGATGGATGTGAGATAAAGAAAGATGTAGGGCTAAAGATGTTGACTTTGTCTTATCAGTCCACTGACCTGCAGCTTATAGTAACGTGAACAGGAAGAATCATTGGAGAAAAGAAAAATAAGGGTGTCACTGTTCGTAGTCAGGAGAGAAAGTTTGGTGATTTTGACATAAGGGCCAGTATGGCACTTGCTCACTCAGAACGAAAATTGGTCTGTCCAATCAAATGAGACAAGTTTGTTATTTACTTTTTGTTGGAAGAAAAATCTTGTGTAGTAAGTAACATGAAAAAGAGAAATAAGTAATTAAATTCAATGAGGCCTTCCAGTTTTATGCTTCTATGGCACGTGATAAAAAAAGCTAAATAAAATGGTAATAAATAACTATATAAACAATCAATCCAGTCCAAGTGCACTCAGGCTGTAAAATATTGTCTATACGCGCTGTACCACCAATCATACCTGGGATCCAGTTTGTATTAGTTAAGCTCATCATAATTGTCATCACAATGCATCTGTCTGGCTTAAAGTAGGCTTCTACGAGTCTTATTTTAGCTAGTTTGAACACCTGCATATTTTATATCTATACATACATACATACATACATACATATCCGCATACATATCCGTGATGCAGATGCGGACCATAAGCTATCGGTTCAGTAATAATTTACCGTTACCGGTTATAATGTACTGACGTCATTTATCTCCTATACGCTCTGTCGCGAGGGAGGTGAGCGCGAGTATTTACAACACAGCCAACTCAGGCCCGGCCCGTGGCATAGGCACCATAGGCAAATGCTACGGCCGCTGTACATTCAGGGGGGCACCAGAAATTAGCGTGGTTCAGATGGTTTTGTTTTCGATATTCCTGACACACATTCAGTTATAGACGGCAATAACTCAACCTCTTACCCTAAAAAGATCTAAAGTGTGTTTCCTACAAAAAGACAAAGCTGGTTATGTTTCACAGCTGTCTTTTTATTTTTTTCGCTTGACATTACGAGCACTGCTCCGTTTAAGCCCTCGCAATATGTGTTTAGCCGAGAGAGCTCGCGCTGAAAAGAGCTCCCAGTAAGGGACCATCGGAAAAGTGTTTCTTTTTTCGGCTCCGCTCAGCGCAAGCTCTCCCTGTTGCGAGGGCTTAAGTGTGTGTGTGTGTGTGTGTTTGTTTGTTTGGTGCTGTCTATGTTTGTGTGTGTTTGAATGAGAGACAGTGTGGTGTTGTGTGTTTGTGCGTTTATGCAGACAGCTTGTTATAGCCTCCCCCCTAAAATATAACAATGTATATGGAAAGCATCGTCAATGCACCGTGATGCACCGAGATATCGAATTGATCCGAATCGAAGGCATGATAATCGTAACCAAACCAAACTGTGAGACCAGTATAGGTTCACACCTCTAATATATATATATATATGTATATGTGGCCCAAAAAGCTGTTATAAACTGTTTATTTCAGCTGGGTGATTACATTGAGATGACATTGCAAGCACAATTGAGCCGTTGGGCAATGTAGACCAATTTGGCATCGTACAATGTCTATTGCGAAACTTTGCTATGGATGATGCCGGCGTCATTGTAGGAGGCGGTGAATTAATTATTTATGAATAATTACTGAATTCATATTGAATTAATTATTTGTAGCTCACCGTTTCTACTACCTGATCTGCATAGTCTTTGTTTTTTTTACCTATAACCAAATCATAAATAAATAAAGATAAGTTACACACAAATTACCACCTGTCAATCACTTCTTCCATGGAACTCTGGCATGAATAGTCAGTGATATGTGTCATCATAATGGCGTTGACGAACTTTGTTGCATAACAAAAGTGGATTAATCAGCAGCAACCAACCAACAGTATCTGAGGTTTTCGCTAAAATTACTAAGTACAAGCGTGAAAGTGAAAGGTTGAAGCAGTGTACTGACTAGGCTTGGGTATCGTTTATTTTTTTTTTTCGATACCGGTGCTAAATCGATACTTTTAAAACTATACCGGTGCCAAAACGGTGCCTGAACCGATACGTTTTAGCCACAAAATGATGGTGGATACCTCTTCAAAAACATTTTATTTCACAAAATATATAAAAAAAAAATTTTAATAGAACAATATAATTACAGTTTAAAGTAAACATCAATTCATATTGTATTACATTGATACATTTCCTTTGATCATTTGTTGGTTAGCATAAATTTAAGATTTGCATTATGAAATTACATTCGCTTACTATTAACCTGTGGGGGGCGGGCAGTGGCCACGTACTTTTAGGAGCACATTTAAACAAAAATATCACAAAATACTTAATTATTCGAAGTGATTTGTTTTCATGCATCACTCTGCAGTCTTCATAAACAAGATAATTAAATAACTTAAACTCAAAATAATCTTCCTTGTTCATTTATTTGACAAGTAATGTTATACTGGTGTAGGAGAACACATCTCTAACATTCAAGTACATCAAGGCACATTGTTGCACCTGTAAACTTTAACAGGCCTACAGTTTATAGGACTTCCTATATTAACAGTGTTATAATCGTTATTGGAAACAAAAAGTCCAGTCCACTATTTTGATAGTGTTTCACAGCATGAACATGACTGAAGTTTAATCTTTTTATTACCTGTGTCAATTTGGGCATCAACTTCTGATGAATGCGGGGAACTGATGCGCGCAGCACCTAAAGCACGAGTGAGGCTCTGCCTTTAAGCACTCAAATTATGTGTCATTAAGTTTGACATGTTTCCCCCTTACACGCAACTTTTGTAAAGACAGTTGCTATGTAAGAATCCTTGCTTGTAAAATACGCTTTAGAATGCTTAGTTTAAGCAAATTGGATGAACGCAATCATGCGTGTTGATCAGAGTGTCGCTCTCGTGTACCCAATCCACATTCGTTAAATGTAGACATGATTAATTAAATATCACGTTCAACACCTATAGTGAGATGCAATCCAGTTATACATCCTTGATAAACTGTCAGACGTGCACTGCTCTTTGGGGATTTGTGCTCAAAGCACCCGCTGACTGCGGGGGTTAAAATGCATGCATACGCTGCCACGCATGACAGTGTGTGTGTGTGTGTGTGTGTTAGGGTTGTAACAATATACAGGTATGACGGTCTACCACGATTTAAACGTGCACGATTATCATACCATGAACAATTGCATATCAACGGTTTTAACCCTTAAAGACCGAGACAGCCGTCCGCGGCTAAAAATAAGTATTGCTCTTAAATGTTTAATAACTTTTGATCCGCTGATCCGATTCATACAATTCAACGATTGGCATAAAGAAGAGAATCTCAGCTTTAATCTCAGTGCTACCATTCACATACCATTCGACTTTCAGAGGCTCCGGAATCAGTGCGGTTACGTCATCAAAATTTGACAACGCTGATTTGACAAAGAAACGCTCGTCACTGTGTCTCCGGACAAACCAGACATGATACATTAATGCATTGTCCCTCCTCCATGCCCAGATTGGTTCAAACTCGCTGTATCACAACCAATAAGCATAGGTTTCGCTTTTGTTTGTGAACCAACAACGAGCTTTTTGAACAACACGGAATGAGAGATAGGCTGTACATTTATGCGCGGCTAAATAAAACGCAAAAAAAAAAGTTTTGCATGAAATAATTCTCATACTAAGTACTTTTGCATGCACAGCAGCACAGAAACATGACAAAACAGTGACACAGCAAAGACGAACTGCTGCTCTTGCTGTTTTCAAAAGACGCAAATGAAGGTGCAGCTGTTTGTCTGCATTGCAGACAACCATATCCAAATCCATATCCACAGACAACCATATCCATGCTGGCACATAAAACCTAAGGATGTTCCATAATGAATCTAGTTTCGTTATGTAACTATTTATAGTATAGTAAATATTTATATCTATTTTTTTACTGAGGATTTGCACCATGTTTATTTGGACTTTATTTGGACTTTGACACATTATTTATTATTTTCTTATTTTTTATTTGTTCATTGTAAGTGGTGTTGTTTATAGTAACTGAAAATATATTATTTTGAAAAAGTCAAATTTGCTTCACTGTTCTATTATTTTGTAACATTTGTAACCTACCGTATACCGCGAAACCGTCAAACCGTGGTATTGTTTTAGACGATTATCATACCGTAAAAAATTCATACCGTTACAACCCTAGTGTGTGTGTGTGTATGTGTGTGTGCGCGTGTGTGCGCGCGTGCATGTGTGGTCATGTGATGTACGTTTTCAGTGTATAATGTGGAAGGAGGGCTTTTCAGAAATGCTAGATAAAACACCACTGTAGACGCGGATTGATTTCGTTCCAAAACGCTATTTTAAAACTAAAGGCCTGTGCACACCGAGATGTTTTTTGCTCACGTTTTCCGTTGACGTTTAACGCCTCGTGACTATATAAAGGCCACAAATGTAATCGTGCAGACCAACATGAACTCCAGGCGCGAAAGCGTTATTTAAAAAAATGCCTCATGCTAGTTTTTTTTGACGCGCAGCGTTAAAACATCCACCAATCAGGTTGGCACTTTTGTTCACATGCATGGAGCTACTGAAGTTAAAGTAAACAATACTTGGAGGTGCTCAAGCACAAAATTGTCAATGTGAGCGCACATTGAAGAAGATGCCCAGAGGCGATATGATCGTGGAGCTGCTTATTGCTTCTTCATCGCTAGAGCTGGAGCTGCTACTTAAATCATCAATGCTTGTTCGAGTCACCAGTAACTAACAACAAGCGTGTGAACTTCCTCTCTTCCTCTTCTTCTGTGTTACAAGTGGGTGTCGGAAGTTTAAAGCTGTATAGCGCCATCTAACGTCAAGGAGTGAATTTGCATACTTTCCTGCTTGACGCCAGTGAAAATCGCTTGGGTTTGAATGTGGAAAAACGTCTCATAAAACGCTGACGATAAAAAGCGTCCCGGTGTGTAGGAGCCCTAAGACGTATTAGTGTACACGGGGCCATGTGTATTTTTCCTGAGTAGGTTGCTGCTGTGATCGGGGCGGGGTGAAGAATTCTGATGCCGGCTCAGCATTATGATGTTTATCTGCCTTCTGCGATGGACGATGGCATCACCTATTGACCCAACCTTAGTGTGAACAGTACTAAACCTCTTCTGAAGGCCAGAGGGTGCTCATGTGGTAAACTTCAAATACCCACAAAAATGAAATCCCCATGGCATTGCATTATAAACAGAAAATTGAACTGCTTTTTTGATTAATTGTGATTAATAATCACAAATATGGTATCATCTTACAAAAGGATTTATTTTAAGCACTCAACTGAGTTTAGTTTGGAGGAAAAACACGTTATCAAATAGGGTATCTGGAGTAGCAGTATTTACTTCACAAAACTGTTGTTTACAAAGAGGCTACGCAAACAGTTGCCATTATTACTAAGCATTAGGTGTTAAAGATATAATTAACGTTTAATTAAATCATCTGCAATTTTGAGTGCAACTTAACAAAGGTCATCAGTGAACTGTTTCTCTGTGTAGTAAATGCTGCTCTATCTGAGGCACATGTTGTAGAGTTTGTAGAATTGGCAAAATGTGCATGAAAACTGCTTTCAGTTAATCACCCAGCCCTATTGTTTATATGGGTTTAAAATACAGTTGTCAACATTTGAAGCGGTTCAAAATGTTTTTCAAAATTGTCCTATGACAAGAGTGGGTGTTGTTCAAAAGTTTTAGGACAACTTTGATAAAAGGTTTTGATCCGCCTCAAATGTTGACTACTGTAGGTTGGTTTCTATGTGAAACAGTTCTGTTATTGTGTTGAGCCAGTTGAGACATTTTCAAAATGAAAAAAAACTTTTTTGTGTACGATGCGTATCACAACCATTCTTTTTATTTTCAGTTAAAACAAATCGATTTGGTTCATATTTTAGGCCTTTATCTCTTTCAGCCAAAAAACAGTGATGCAGATTTTTAGCTGTCAGAATCTGCATCCCTATTTTTATCTTGTGTACGTACTGCAAAATGCTGTACTTTATGCGTGTAAATGCAGATTTCACCATGGTCCAATTGATTTAAAATTGTCTTAGACATTTACATGAATATCTTGCATACAAAGAACAATCCGATTTTTTTTTTTTTTCTTATAGGGGAGGAGCAGTTGGGTGAAAGAAAGGGGGCCGAGGAGAAAAACGTGCCTCAAAAGACCTTAGAGATCCTGTACTCTGAAGGTGGAGGTCGTCATTGACAGGTGGGCCTCTAATTCAAACAGATTTGTGATGATTTCACAGTGAAATGCAGTATAAATGGAGCACAAATGATGTTTGTAAGGCAGAGACAGAGCTCGTTTCCAGTGCCCTCATTCATGAGCTTGAATTATTCAGCAATACATGTAGTTAAATAAGTTTTCATCCTGTAAAAGATTTCAGTCTCTGAGAGAGACAGATAATAGCGTATGATGTGCTTGTTCCAATGAAAAGATAAACAGTAGTCAGTGAAGACGGATCATTTTGATGCAAATTATAACTTCAAAGCTTGTCTCAACTGCATGCCTGAGCTGAGTTGAAGAATTTAGCCGCTCTTCATGTCTCTTTCAGTCGGCTAACTTATTTTCAGTTTTCTGCCTGTAGTATGTTTTTTATTCCTATGAAACAGTTCAGTGTGCAAGATGATGATATATTAACAAAGGATATTAAACTGACTTGGTTAAATTCAAATGAGCCAAGCATCCATCAATATTAAAGATGGCTGATACAGATAAATACTGATTATTTTCCTATAATGTCTGACAAGTGATGTTTTTGTCTAAGCAAATGTAAAATAAATTCTGTGGCCTAAATTCTATAATATACAACATGAAAAGACTTTTGCAGTGCTGGAAAGAGTACTGCAAAATCATACTCAAGTAAAATAGCCATTACTTGCCCAAAAATGTAGCGCGAATAGAGTAAAAGTATATGTGGTAAATATTACTTAAAGTATGAGTAAAAAGTAGAACTTTCAAAAGTACTCAAGAGCAGTGAGTATTACGCTGGGAAAGGTGGATGTGTTTACATGTAATTTGATTGGTTAAGGCCATTTCGGTTATCACACAGTAAACATTCATCATCTTTTCATCAGTGACATTCAGTCTAAATAGTCTCTGGGTCATTGCGTAAAGTATCTTCTTGGACACTTTTAATGCTTTTTAAACAGTTTGCTGCATGCCTTAAGATATGAGGGTATGATGCCATTTTCCTTCTATGTGTTATTTGATTGGACCAGAATTGCAGGACTGATTTTTCTAATCCCCATAGACAGGAAATAACTATAAAGTAGTGACTGCAGGTTGAAGGAAAATAATGGAGTAAAAGAACTGATACTGCACAAAAAATGTACTCAAAGGAAATTAAAAGTACACATTTTTGAAACTACTTAGTAAATACCATCCCTGAGAAAAACTACTCGCTGTAATTTGAGTATTTTTTTCTGTAATTTGACATTTGCTAGATTTTGATTAATTACCACAGTGCTATTAAATTACAGGAACATTTTTTTTTTTTTTAATTGGCTCATTTTTTTTGGCGGGAACACTTTAAGCTGGGCATAAATGGTTGAATTTGAATAATTCAATTTGAAATTCAGGTTTATGAGCCCCCTTTGATTTTTTTTTTCTTTTTTAAATACTTCCCAAATGAAGTTTAACAGGGCAAGTAAATTTTCAACGCAAGTCTGATCATATTTTTTCTTTCGAAGAAAGTTTTATTTGTTTTATTTTGGCTAAAATAAAGCCAGTTATTATTTTTTTAAACATCATTGTAAGGACAAAATGATTAGCTCCTTTAATCTTTATTTTTTTTTCGATAGTCTACAGAACAAACCATTGTTAAACAGTAGGTTGCCTAATTACCCTAACCTGCCTAGTTAACCTAATTAACCTAGTTAAGCCTTTAAATGTCACTTTAAGCTGTATAGAAGTGTCTTAAAAGTATATAGTGAAATATTATTTACTGTCATCATGACAAAGATAAAAGAAATCAGTTATTAGAAATGGGTAATTAAAACTATTATGATTAGAAATATGTTTAACAAATCTCTCTGTTGAACAGAAATTGGGGATAAAAACAAACAGGGGGCTATTAATTCTGTCTTCAACTGCCTATAATCAAAAAATGATTAAGTACAAATAATTGTTTAATATGGATTGACGTAGACCAGTTAAAACACCATTTAATAACAGCCAAAAAAGCTCCTGGTTAAATAAGTATGGTTATGGCACCGTTTCATAGGAAGACAATGGTGAATTATTTTCTTGTTCACCTCACCATGTTGGAATGCTGATCAGACGAGGAAATGTATAAACAACAAGAGAATGGAGTTCATGCACAGTCAGTTTACTCCCCATCCCTAAAATGGTTGTGCTGGTGTCAGTGTGGAGTCATGCCGAGCTTTAGATCTTAGTGGGATCTGTGTTATTCAGGCCTCTCGTGTTGTGACTCAAGCTCACAGATGGATGACAGTAGCGATGAGTGTCCAGTGCTATGAGTCTGATCTATCGAGCAAACCAGTTGTCCACCATTTTAGAGGCTCGGGTCTCGGAGTGTGTTCAAATGTTTATTTTTATTTTATTTCATTTCAGACAGTGCAGAAAATACACCAATCGGGTCCGAGCTGGCTGTATGATGTGGAACTGCGCTGTTGTGTAAATGTTATAAAGTCATCATATCAATAATGGCTCTTCAGAATTATAAAAAACCTGTTCGACGTTGTTCATTAAAAACATTTGGCGGTAAATGTAGACACAGTCATGTTAACCAACCGGTGTTACCGGATTAGTGTTTTATTTAACAAAGTATTTCATCCGAGGCTCATAGACGCAGTGCTCAAACATGACCCTGATCTCTTTATCCTCATCGTGACCCTTTCCATCCGCATTTCATAAGTCTCTGGGACGACAGCAGTCATATAAGATAGTGGTCGGCCACAGATTTTGTTTTTTTTGAAGATGCTGTGCACTGCTGAGAGCGGACAGGCCTTTACAGATGGCTTTAGCTGGAACGTCATGCCCTCTGTATCTGGTTATTTTGTCAAGATTAGCCATGGCTTTTTAAGCATAATAGTGCCCAGTTTCAAACTGATGCTCTGTTGTGTTTGTTGGTAATTTATAACAGATCATATGTTCTTTTGAATAATGTTTTGTTTTTGTCCTTTTAGCTCACAGAAAGGGTCCCTGTGTAGTGCATAGCTACACACGTCTTTTCATATAAAAAGTGTCCAGTTCGGTGTCCCATTACTTTTTTCTCAAAGCATTAGAGAAACAGTTTTCTCTCTCTCTTTTTTCCAACATTGAAAACTCCTCTTTATTGAGGCTAACTTGCTTACATACCTACATACCTAGTGTATTGCTTTACCTCCGTCTAATGTCCAAGGTAACATTTTATTTTATAGACTTTGCAACTTTCCATTTAATTACTGCAATAATCACTAGGGGTTTAATGGTATACAAACAAGATGGTTCGGTTTCTATAAATACAGTTGTGTGATGTCAGAAAGCATCAAAAACAGCAGTTATTGTTGGAGTTTCTGATAAATTGAACAAAATCTAAAATCTGAAACCGTATTTTCTCTCTATTACTAGAAGGACGTGTGCTGTAATATATAGGGATGCTCCGATCAAGATTTTACCAGCTAATACAGAGTACCAATTCCTTTTCATGGTGATTGGCCAGCACCGAGTACCGATTCTGATGCTTCAAACTTTCTAATGCATAATGCATATTTTCACTCTAGGTGTGAGACTTAAGTGCCTTACCTAACAGAATAAATGAAAGATGTTGCATATAATCTCTTGAACATGACTCTTATAACCATTTAGTATTGACATGTAATAATCAGATTGGATGAAAAAATCAATAACAAAGCAATTTAAAAACATTGCAAATGACGGAAGAAGAATTCAACCTTACTCAATGACGATAAGAGCACGTATTTGATGCATAAGAAGTTAAAAAGCACCTATAGATCTATTACTTCTTTACAGAAAGGAAATAGGCCTATAAACCACTTTTATTTATATGTTTTTACAATAAGTTTATTATAATAAGTTATATTATTAAATATTTGAGTTAAGAATATTTATTAGGTTTTTTTATTTCCCTAATATTTCCTGCCCGGTTATAATGGACTTGCAATATTATTGAAAACACAGAACTTGTTTGTAAAAAGAATTGGGTTCTAATATGTCCTCTACTTGTAAACTCGTAAACAAAACAAACACTTTTGATTAGTTTATAAGATAGGCCAGATTAGCAAGTACCAATCAAGTCATGAAATGTGATTTATCTCTGGCCGATCGATCGGAGCATCTCTATTAATATAATATAATATAGGGCTGGGCATTTTGGCCTAAAATCAAAATCTCGATAAATTGAACATTTTAACCCGATTATTTCATTTATTTATTTTGCCCTCAAAGCTCACTGACAGGTTTTGTACAGTTGATATGCTCTCATATTACAAGTGAGAGATTTTGAATGAGGGGTGCATTGCCTGATTTTAAATGAATTGAAGGAAACCCACACCATCTACTATCTCTGATTATTTATTGAACATCAACACACGTTAGGGAAAGTAATTGAAAAAAACTGACCTGGAAAAGTTTGATCAATTATAGGTTCTGAATATATTATATTAAGTTCTAGCCCTAATATATTATGTTAAGTTTTATAATATAACAAAGATTCAATAATAATAATAACAATAATAATAAAGCTTTATTTATGCATTAAACCTGAAATAGCATAGATTCAAGAATCAATCTTTGGATTTAACACAAAAAAGAGCCAATTTATAAATTATTCTTAAAATTATATGTACAGTGACACAACAAAATTGTGTATAATTGTAGTAAATTGTGTATAATTACATGCAGACCAATTCCCAATGCTTTAGAATGTTTTTAATGTTACTTAGTACTTAAATGCGTATTTGTATGGTGTAAAAAAAATTGTGTAACCATGTGCAAATATTAAATTATACAATGGTGCCATAATCACAATAGCTTTGTTGCAAAGCCATTTTAATGAGTAAATAATGACCTAATTCATAAAAGCTTTCTAATCCATCCCATATTTTGTGCAACCCTGTTACTTTGTGTTATTATCTTCTCTTTAGTTTCAACCTTTTATAACAAAAAGTTAAATATCATTAAATAAAATGAAACTTGAAATTTATGTAACCAGTCAAAATAAATAAACTTTTCACTGGAATGGC